TGGTGGGAATGCAAATTGGTGCAGCCGCTCTGGAAAGCAGTGTGGAGTTTCCTCAGAAAATTAAAAATAGACCTACCCTATGACCCAGCAATAGCACTGCTAGGAATTTATCCAAGGGACACAGGAGTACTGATGCATAGGGGCACTTGTACCCCAATGTTCATAGCAGCACTCTCAACAATAGCCAAATTATGGAAAGAGCCTAAATGTCCATCCACTGATGAATGGATAAAGAAATTGTGGTTTATATACACTATGGAATACTACGTGGCAATGAGAAAAAATGAAATATGGCCTTTTGTAGCAACATGGATGGAACTGGAGAGTGTGATGCTAAGTGAAATAAGCCATACAGAGAAAGACAGATACCATATGGTTTCACTCTTATGTGGATCCTGAGAAACTTAACAGGAACCCATGGGGGAGGGGAAGGAAAAAAAAAAAAAAGAGGTTAGAGTGGGAGAGAGCCAAAGCATAAGAGACTGTTGAGAACTGAGAGCAAACTGAGGGTTGATGGGGGGTGGGAGGGAGGAGAGGGTGGGTGATGGGTATTGTGGAGGGCACCTTTTGGGATGAGCACTGGGTGTTGTATGGAAACCAATTTGACAATAAATTTCATATATAAAAATAAATAAATAAATAAATAAATAAATAAATAAAAACAAAAAGAGAAATGACAGGGCTGGGGAAGAAGAAAAAATAAAACTTGACCAGGCAAAGAAACTATAGGCTTAATCCAGAGAGAGAGTAAGGAAAATAAAGAATGAGGCGGGGAAAAAGAAAAGAAGGTAAAGTTGTCCAGACAGAGAAACTATTAGGCTTAATAGAGACAGAGAAACAAAAGTAAAGAAGGGGGTGGGGAAAAAGAAGAGAAAATAAACTTGATCAAAGCAACTATATGGCTTAATCCAGAGGGAGAGAAAGGAAAATAAGGAAGGAGGTATAGAACATGTATCAAGAGAACGGATTAAACATGTCTGCTTAAATAGGCCAAAAACCAGGGTAACCAGACTAGAGGAGGGAAGAGATAAGAATAAGAAAAGGAAGGAAGAATATATCTATATAATAAGAATTGTCCGTGAATTAAACCAGGCAAGGCAAAAGCGCTGCTCTGGAGGAGGGGCTATCTCAGCTTCAATCCCACTCCAGTAGATAGGCAGTTGCCAGGCACGGAGGGGGGAGGTTTGATGTAGGCAGGTCCCACCTCCACTGTGGGCATGATGTCTGTTCCCTGAAGCGCTCCTCCTATGGCCTGTCAGGTTGTCCAGGTGGGTCCCTGGAAGCAACTCTGCCTCTTTTCCTCCCGGACTCTTGGAGTTCAAGGTCCTTTGGCCTCAACATGGCTTTGTTGGAGAGGACAGAACTTCGGATCCCCTACTTCTCTACCATGTTGGCCCCTCCCTTCAACCCCTCCCTTTTGAGGAACTGGGGCTTTGACCCACTGAGTTCCTCTGGGGCAGGGTCTTGCAGAGCAATGGCCAGGTGCCAGCCTGTCCACAGGAATGTTCAGGATACCACGCTGCTGCTGGTGCACAGAGACTGTGGCTGGGTGCCAGCCAGCCGCGGAAAAAGTTCGCGTGATCTTGTAGCAGCAGCAGTTCAGGGTTTATGGAAAATCACAACACACATCTAGCACCAGGCTTCCCCCTCAACATCCTTATTCCAGCACCAGCAAATGTGGTTGTTCTCCAGGGTCTACTGGGATCTTTGCCTGTGGGGAGGCTGCACAGCCTGTAACAAATGTCCTCCCCACAGGGGAACTGCCACTCTCTGTGTGGCCCATGGACCCCTCAGACCTCATTCTCTGCCCCTGGGGATTCGCCCTTCCCACCAGAGCCCCACCAAGTATCGAGCTGTGGAGGCTCAGACTGTGTGCTCCCCCCTGTTTATAGAGTCTTGATGGTGTTTAAACCCTCTCCTTTGTCCTTTCTCCCTTTTTTTGTTCAGTCCCTGCTGCTGTTTCCATTTTTCCACTTTCTTTCCAGCTGCTTATGGGGGAGGGGATGCTTTTCCGGTACTCTACACCTTTCTCTGTCCTCTCTCCACAAGCAAAAACAGCTCCCTGCCCTCCACGGCTTCTGTCTCCCCCAGTTCACCTCTCCGTTCTGCGTACCTGCCAAGTTCTGGGGTTCAGGTTGTGTAGATTGTTGCATTAATCCTCAAATCAGTTTTCTAGGTGTGTGAGAGAGTTTAGTGGTGATCTGGCTGCATTTCAGCGATAAGAGACACAAAAAATACTTCCATACTGTTCTGCCATCTTGGTCCTTCTCAGTCATACTTTAATTTTGTTTCAGAAGACTTGAAGAATGAGCTGGTCTTCTAAGGCTAAATAAGGGGAAATTATTTCCTTCCAAGTTGTCAGTGGAAGAGCTGCCTTTTCTTTATATCTTCAGTTAAGGGTTTTCTTTTCTCCCAATATATACAAACTACACCAGTCTCCCATGTCTGGCACAGATCTAGCAGAAACCTGGCCCACCCGCCCGAAGCCAGCCAGGCATCCACTCGGACCACCCTGAGGACAGGTCAATGTTGAAGACAACTCAACATTGAATGTGTGAAAATTCCAAGAGAGTTGCAGAGCAAGGAATTGTATTGACCAAAGACAGGCCACCTAAAAACGTGGACCAAATATCTGGGCTTACTTGGCTGGGTGACAAAACCAAGCTTCCTAGCTGCCGGAGCCAAATAAGAAGACTCTGAAATCAGCTATTTTGAAACGTGTGCTGCTCTCAAAGACTGACAGGACCACAAGAAAAATGGAGATGTATGAACATTAACACTATCAATTAACACTCCAGACTTTGAAAAGTACAGGTTTCAACCTCACCTTGTCTATAAACCACACTGCCTTTTTTTTTTTTGAGAGAGAGAGAAAGAGAGAGGGCCCAAGTGAATGAAGGGCAGAGACAGAGGGACAGAGAGAGGGAGGGAGGGAGGGAGGGGGAGGGAGAGAGACAGGGGCTCACCTGAAACCGGGCTGGAGCTTACCTGATATGTGACTCAGGCTCATCAACTATGAGGTCATGACCTGAGCTGAAGTCAGATGCTTAAGGACCGGGCCACCCAAGTGCCCTTCTCCTTTATTTCATGTGTCAACAAAGCATATAAAGGGCTCCCACCTAAATGGTCAGAACCATATGGACTTGGATACCTGGCTTTTCTGTCACTGTGCTTAGTGACAGCATTTGTTCATAAAATTGTGTCACACCCACATGCCTATTGAGGAATCATAGAAAATCGGATGATACATCAGAATTCCAGGTTCTCTTCAGCATTAAAGATCTTATTCCCAAGTTTCAGGGATGGTGAATTAGAAAAGGCAATCCTAAATCTGTCTATGATAATGGAACAAGGAGGGTTCAATACCACTATGCATGCTTTGAAAACACTCCAGTCAGAAGGTAACAACTTAGCGTCTGGGGGTCTCCAAAGTCATCATGTTCTAGATACCGTGACTGCTTAGCAGGGGGTGCTCATGCAATCATCAGTGGAAAATGTTGCTTTTTATCTAACCCAAATGAGGCACATAATATCTAACTTAAATCTACTTTTAAAAAGGAATTAATATTTTCCATCAGATAAATGAAGCACATTTAATTGGTCAGATCTATTCCAGGATTGTGAGACTCATTTCATGAGGTGTGGGGAAATGTGTTCTCTTCTATTTATTCATCCTCTTGCCTTCTTCTTTCCCAAATGTTTTGAGTATAAATGACACACGATGTTACCGTAGTTTCAGGTGTACAACATAGTAACTTGCCAACTGTATACATTATGCTGTGCTCACCACAGTGTAGCTACCCCCACCCTACATTGCTATTAAAATACTGTTGACCATATTCCCTATGCTGTGCCCTTGATTCCTGTGACTGATTCATTCCATACCTGGTATGAATGAATACCAGGTACCCCCCACCCTCGTTCACCTGTTCATTCATCCTCATGGTGATCTATGCTTTTCTTATTCTTTGTAGATTTCTTACTGCTCACTCCAAATTGGATTTCTCTCTCCACAGTCATCTGATCAGCTATTTATTATATAAACTTTCAGGGGAGTTTCAGAGAAAGAAACTGTGAGGCCCCAGGGAAGCCACCCCAAAATGTGCCACCATGGCATATTGACTATCTTGACTTGAAGCTACTTGGGATACAGCCGGTGCAAGAGCACCCAGGCTGTCACATGCCCCTCTTGAAAGCAGGAAATGAGTGGCCCATATGAAAGGTCCCCTCCCTGTACTATGAGGTAAAGAGACATCCTTATCAGCAGAGATGGGGCTTCCAAGCTGAGAAAGCTGTAGAAACAAACCTTGTTACTTTTTTACTCATCTACAACCTCAGCCCAGATTCCACTTAGAATTCCTGCAATTTAAAACTCCCACACACCTTTTCTCTTTTTCCTGTCAATTCCTCACAAATTATTGTCTTTGTCCAAAATATATAAGACTGCAAAAAAACAAAACAAAACAAAACAAAACAAAACAAAACAAAATAAAACAAAACAACCTGTCTGCCTTGGCCATTTCTTTGGGCTTAAATTCATTAGTGGGTCTACCTGCCTATGTAATAAAACTTTGAGGGTTGTTTTTTTTTTTTTTCCTCCTGTTAACCTGTCTCATGTCAATTAAATTCTTAAACCAGTTGGAATAATTTTGGAGGAATGAGGATATTTCTTCCTCCCTACAAAACCATTGCATTTTTACTACAAAGAAGTTTATGTATGAAAAACAGAGCACACCTCAACATATGAAAGTAAATTTTATTTTAAAAGGTAAAACTTTCATGCAACTTTTAAACATGAACATTCAGGGGCACCTGGGTGTCTCAGTTCACTGAGTGTCTGACCTCAGTTCAGGTCATGATCTGATGATTTGTGGGTTCGAGACCCACATTGGGCTCTGGGATGACAGCTCAGAACCCGAAACCTGCTTGAGATTCTGTGTCTCCCTCTCTGGTCTCCCCCACTCACACCCTGTCTGCCTGTCTCTCTTTCAAAAATAAATTTTAAAAAATTAAAACATGAACATTCAAAAGTTATTAAGCAACTTAATCACACACTGTTGATTAGAGCAGGGATTAAAGAAGTAGTTTCGTCACCAGCGTAAACACTAACAGAATTCGTCACAACTTGGATCTCCAGTGATTCAAGTGTTTTACCCCACAAAATAAGATGTGATCAACTTTAGAATAAAATACATTTCCTGGATATTCTGTTATCAGTCAAGGCCTTCTTCATCACCATCATCTCACACGATAGGAAAGCTGGCCCTGGTGGCGATTCCACAGTTGTTATTCCGGTCTCTGGCCATTTTTATGTAGCCACCCATGCCCCAGTCAGTGCCCCAGCTGAAAGAAGACAGGGTTTTCCAACTATTACAAACAACCAAAAACATACATCTTTTGAACAATAGCAGCCAGTATTGAGCAGTGCACCAGAGGCCAGGGCAGATTCAGGAAGAATCAGGAGAGGCCGTTCTTGTTCATGGTTGAGTTCTAACCCAGCACAGACATTTCACAAAACTGCAGTGTGAACAGGAAAAGGAAACCCTTGGGACCTGGGTGTGATATAGAATATTGAAAAACTTCCAATTTAGAAATACAGTGGTACCAAAACTATATCAGGACCCTAGCAAGCCTGAGACAGTATCTTAATGTTGTCATCATATGACTATGTCTGTGCTCCCCCCTAGATGGGGTAAACGCTGCTGGGATTTCAGAAGTGTGCTCAAGGGTTGGCGGACCTGCGTCCAAACACTGGTTCCAAAAAACATTCCCTTTTCAAATTCAAAAGTACGTATTCCTCGATTTTCATACCTGTTCTTGACAAACCAATATTTTTGGTTATCGGATTCTTTTCCTTGAAAGCCATAGCCAACCACCAGAACACCGTGATTCAGGTCTTCACTGCTGCACTTTGGATCATAATAAATGCCTGGGGAGTAATATTCAATGCTGAGTGAGGATTCCCACGTGACATGTGATAGTAACCCAGCCTATCAACCACAGTAGGAGAGGCATTTCAAAATTCAGTTGTGATATTGATATGAATTCAGATGAGATTTAAAAGTCAGATATTTTTGTTTAGTGGGAAGGGGTGGGGATTTAGGCCCTCATCTCACTCCAGGAGAAATACTAACTGTCACAATCCCTTTTGAAAATAATAGTCAAGGGGCATTAAAAAAATCACCTGCCAAAACCTTATTATTCTACTTGTAGGATGTCAACCTAGGGAAACATCAGAGAACATAAAATTACTTGAGCCAAGAGCTACTTTCCACTGTTAATTTCAGTATCAAAATTCTTTAAAAGTTATCAAGGTCTAACATTTGGAAAAAAGTAAAGTAAGCTCTACTAATTAAATTGTGTTGTCATTTAAATATATTTATTATATACTTACACTCGTGGGGATTTGGGCCAAGTAATGGCAAATGGAAACAGCAGACATAAATATTACATGTACAGAATGAACAACTATATTAAATCCACACACCCCAAAATTATACATTGAATTCTACATACCAAAGTGTCATTCTTGCTGTTTCTTAGGGTGGTTTTCCAATTTTTCTGTATCAACAAATGCTTACCTCCTTTATAGAAGCGGAAGGTATCCAAGCTTGCATCTATAGCAGCAGAGATGGATCCCATGTTTTTCATTGCCACCAAGAGGGCCTCCTCCCGCCTAGGAATTGTCTGAAAGGCAGTGACATTGGCAGCAGAATACTCAGGCCTGTATTTGCAGGGTCCATCCTTTGAATGGTAAAGGAAAAGAAACTTGATTATGACCATCCACTTCCTGGGGAACATGACTTCAAGGCAGCTTACAGGTAAAAAATTTCCAAGTCAAGTTTGTTGTGAAGCAACCCAGGAGGTGAAAGGCTATTTATTGTCTTAAAATTAAAAAACTAATTGGTGGCTCAGTAGGTTAAGCATACAACTCTTGATTTTGGCTCAGGTCATGATCTCACAGTCATGGGATCGAGACCCGTGTTGGGCTCTGTATGGAGCATGGAGGCTGCTTGTGATTCTCTCTCTCTCCCTCTCTCTCTCTCTCTCTCTGGACCCCTTCCACTCTCATGCTCTCCCTCTCTTTCTCTCTCTCAAAATTAATAAAAAAACCTTTTTTAAAAAAAGCAAAACTAACTGGTGTGGATTCAATGAAACACTCATGGTCTACCTGTCCCTAAGAAGTTTTTCACTCTGGGCAAATCCGTACCTTGTGTAAAAGGTATGCATATCTCCATGTGACGTAGAAATAAAAACAACTATGTGGTAACCATCTAAGCAGAGAACTATGCCAGGCTAATACCATTTAATGACAGTCTTGACAGACTGCAGATAGAGAGTCTATCTACAATTGGAAATGTGAATGTTAAACATGGTGTCTGTTTTCTTCAAAAGCATTCAACTCTAAGGACAGAGCTGGAATGGTGACAAGTGAGGAGCTCTACTCACTCTTGCAACATATGGATAGGATTCTTCTGTGTCCAGACCTCTGTTGTTCCTAACATACTGGAAGGCATTACTCATTAGACCACCATTGCAGCCCTCATTGCCTTCAGCCTGAGAGCAGTCCAGGAGGTTCTGCACACTCAAGGAAACACGTTTGCCGTATTTCCGGAATATCTGTCCTTCGATGGCACCAGTTGCACTAAAAGCCCAGCCAGAAGCACACCGACCCTGAAAACAAATTGTAAAGGTCTCAGTCTACAAAACCAATAGCAAGAGTGAAAACAGTCCATCTATATGAAAACTTTAAAACATAGCAACGGCAGGGTGCCTGGGTGGCTCATGGTTAAGCGTCGGACTTCAGGCTCAAGTCATGATCTCAAGGCTTGTGGTCTAACTTCATCTACTCTGCATCAGGCTCTGTGATGACAGCTCAGAGCCTGGAGCCTGCTTTGGGTTCTGTGTCTCCCTCTCTCTTTGCCCCTCCCCAACTCGTTCACTTTTTCTTTCTCTCAAAAATAAATGAACATTAAACAAAATAAATAAATATAGCTACAATATATTTTTCCACAGCAGGAAACCATAGCAGGGAGCCACTTTCTTTTTGGCTTTCCTCTTGGAGAGACCTGTTGAGTAGTCATCCTTGATACTCACAAGACTAATATCAGGTGTCTGTCTCCTATTCATAGGTAAGGAAATACCAGCAGGGAAAGGGACTTTAAACACTGTCCCATTCTCATTCTTTTGGATTTTAAGACCAATCATCATGTGCCTGAATTCTTCATCGGTCTTCAGGGAAAAGAAAGTAGAATATTGACAAGCATGAGATTTGGGGGGAAAGTACTGAGAGAAACAACAAAACTTTCAGCAAATCTGTGCCATACTCACCATGTCACCAAAGCCATTCATTGCCATCAAGAAGCTATGTTTCCCTTGAAGGTATTCCCTATTGTGCTGCATAATCATTTTCATATTCTTCTGCCACACGGCTCTTCTGCATTCTTCAACCTACAGGCAAACATATAACATATCATTTTTATTTGTATTTAAAACCTACTGACCTGCACCAAATGGATGTGCTCACAGAGAGAAGGAGAAACCACAGCCATGGATAGTCTTATGCTTCTGGGAGCTGTTTTCCAGCAACCACACAGCAGGACATATGCCCACACTATGCACACTCATGGTGCTGTGCTTACTGCTTTGGTAAGAGTGGTCTCAAGATGCTACTCTGTGCTACAAACTCCCACCAGCACGGGCATTCTCTGTGAGTCCCCTAGATAGTTTAGATTTTAGATGTTACCAACCACACCATATTGTTTTCCATGTGTCTCCTTCCACCGGATCCACTGTGCATCTAAACTTTGATCAAGCTCTATAGTAGCGGAGACTATTCCCAAGCAAAGTGCAGTCAGGAAGTCAAAAGGATGCATGTTTCAAAACCTAGGAAGCAAAAAGAAAAAAAAATGAGAATCTGATTAGACTGATCTGTCTAAAAATCCATCCTCCTTTCTTCTAAATGTTAGAGCCACTATGGTGGAGTACAAACATTGAATTTATCCTCCCAAGTACTTACAGAAGGATAACACTGCTCACCTGATCATGCAGCTGTGCAGATGCTCTCGGCAGGTGTAGCCCCAGGGCTTTCTGGTGCTGGGCAGTGACTCTAAGGCCACCCACTTAAATCCCTGGGGTTTGGCCTGATTGGCCCTATCCATATGGCCCAGTACACTGTAATCTTCCCGATCTGCTTTTGTTTCCCAAGCTGATGACTTCTATTCTGATGTTTTCTTGATGATAATTGCTTGTTCTTTACAGAAGAAAAACTTGTTGACAATGGTCTGGGCTCACTTTCCTGTCAAATGGTCCTTAACTGGTTTGACTAAAACAATAGAGCAGTCACAGTGGTCCAGCTAAGGGTCCAAAAGAAAAAGCTCATGCTTATTCAACAAAGAAAATAATGTTAAACTTCCATTTAGTTGATGCCATTATAAGATATGAAAAAAGTGTGTATTGAAGGCACACTGAAATATATTTAGTGGTGATTTAGTGATCTGTGTCCCTGAATGTCAAATCTGAGGACAGGGAGCTGGGAGGAGCTTGGGACTCCCCTCATTTCATTCTCAGAGGCTACATATCAAAGATTCAAAGCCACTGGTGGAATGGCACCCGGGTGACCGTCATTCCATAGGCAGGGGACAGAGGAACTATTGGGATCTCTAGCCTGTGACCTGAGAACCCCTTTCTTCTGTTTCTCATTCTTTCCTGATTGCCTTTCCACTGGAAGGTTACGTGCCTGGGCCTGTCTCAGGGGGAATCCAGGTGTGCTTTCCATTTTCTAGCATCCCCTAAAGTACTCTGTAGAGCTCTGGCCATACTTGGGGAAGGTGGGAGTAGTCACCGGGTTGCATTGGACTCTGGGAAAATAAGCTTCAGCAACTGGAAGGCTGAGCGATTAACACATCAAAAGGAGAAAAGCCATATGATTATTTTAATAGATGCTTTTTAAAAATAAAAAGAAACATGCTATTTCAAATCAGTGGGATGAGAACGGTCAATAAATAGCTAGTCATCCAGGAAAAATTAGAAGCAGATCCACAAAACGTATTACTGATGGATTCCAGAATTCAACATAAAAAAACAAAAGTATGAAAGTATTAAAAACATAAAAGAAAATGTATTTATGACCTTACACGGGACCAAAGACACTAAGCACAAAGTGTGAAGAAAAGATAGATGTGATTACGTCAAAATGGGAATTACACCCCACGAACAAAGTTAAAAGACACTCCACAGCACAGGAGAAAAATGTTTGTAACATGTAACACAAAGCGCACATCAAGAAACATACCTATTACGGAGGAAAAGATAAATCACTTCAGAGAGATAAACTAAGGATATAAGACTACAGTTTGTGAAGAGAAAATACAAA